AAAGGGAATACTACTCAGCCATAAAGAATGAGAAATTAGATTCATTGATAGGAAAATGGATACATACTGAGGATATACTCCTAGGTGAAATAAATAAGTAACACATGTGTAAATACTGAAGTTTCTCTGGCATGAAAAACTATAACAGTACATAAGATCCTAATGAGATAATTGACAATGTGAAGTAGGAAGAAAAGGGCTAAATGTTTAAGGAAAGCAGGAAGGGTAGGGGAAAGGTGATAAGGGAAAAATATATGAGAAAATGAAAAAATGGAAATAAAGTGTTTGTAAATGGGGAGGGGAGGAGGTGGTGAAGGGAGTCCAGGGACAAGGGAAAAAATGAGAACCAAGACCTGTCACATAAAGGTATAAGATCCCAATGAATGTAACTGTAGTATAAACCTAAAATGTACCAATAAAGTAAATGAAAGAAAAAAATAAATAAATCTAGAAGTGTTTTGGTAGAGTTGTTGGGGTTTTCTATGTAGAGTATCATGTCTCCTTCAAATAGTGACAATTTAACTTCTTCCTTTTCTTCTATTTTTTCTCTCATCTGATTGCTTTGTCTAGTGTTTCTAGAACTACATTGAATAGTAGTAGTGATAATGGACATCCTTGTCATATTCCTGGTTTTAGAGTTAAAACATTGTGGTTTTGTCCATTTAGTATGATGTTAGTTCTGGGTTTGCCATAGATGACCTTTATCAGATTGAAATAGAGACCATCTATTCCAATTTTTTGAATATTTTTTTTAATCATAAATGAGTTTTGACAAATGCTTTTTCTTTTTCTATTGAGATATTCATGTGTTTTTGTTTTTGGCTCTATTCCTATGGTCTATTACATTCATTGATTTGCATTGTTGAGCCATCCCTGCATTCCTGGGTTGAATCCTACTTGGTCTTAGTTTAGAATCTTTCACATGATTTGTGGCATTCTGTTTTCCAGTGTTTAATTCAGGATTTTTGCCTCTATGGTCACTGGGGAGATTGATCTGTAGTTCTCTTTTTTAGTTGGGCCCTTCACTGGTTTTGGTGTCAGGGTAATACCTACTTTTGGGAATAATTTTGGGTATATTGCTTTCTTTCAATTTCATTAAAGAGTTTTAGGAATAGTGGCATTAGCTCTTGTATAAATTTCTTGTAGAATATAGCAGTGAATCCATGAGGACCTGGGCTTTTCTTTGTTGGTAAGTTTTTAATTGCATTTTCAATTTCATTGATTGATATTGGATTTTTTAGAATTTTTCTATCTTCTTAATTCAGCTTTGGTAATTCATATGTATCTAGGAACCTGTGAATTTCTTCTGTGTTTTACTTCTTATTACAGTACAGGTTCTTGAAGTATTTATGGATAATCTTCTGGATTTCTTCAGGATCTGTTGTAATTTCATGCTTTTAATTCCTAATTGCATGAATTTGAGATTTTTCTTTCCATTTTTAAGGTTGGCTAATAATGGTTTATCAGTTTTATTTAATCTTTGAAAGAATCAACATGCATTGATACTTTGTATTGTTTTCTTAGTATTTATTGCATTAATTTTTGCTCTGATCTTTATAATTTCTTCCCTCATATGAGCTTTGGGCTTGGTTTGTTCTTCTTTTTCTCAACATTTAAGGTTCAATATTAGGTTTTATATTTGAGTCTATTCTGTTTTCTTTATGTGAGAATTCACCACTATAAATTTCCCTCTGTGGACTGTATTCCATAAGTTCTGTTATGTTGTACTGGCATTATGATTTAATTGTAGATACTGTTTAATTTCTTAAATTTCATCTGTGACTCATTGTTTTTTTCAGAAGGGTATTATTTAATTTCTATGTGTTTGTGGAGATTTTTAAAATTTCTTTTGCCACTGATTTCCATTTTCCTTACACTATGGTCAGATAATATGTATGGGAAAATTTCAATTACTTTGCCTTTACTTTAAAAAGTTCTGTGGGATAGTATGGGATCTATTTTGGAAGATACTCCATATGCAGCTGAGAAAAACTTACACTCTGATTTTGTGAGGTACAACATTCTGTAGCTATCTACCAAATTCATTTGTTCACAGGTTAGTTTCAGTTCTGATATTTCTTTGTTAATTTTTTTGTCTAAATGACCTATTTGTGAAAGTGGGGTATTAAGGTCCCCCATTGCAATTGTATTAGTGTTATAAAATTTTTTGTCTGTTAATTTTTTTTTTTTTTGGTACTAGCAATCAAACTCAGGACCTTGTGCTTGCAAGGCAGGTAGTGGTACCACTGACCTAAATCCTGGCCCAATATTTGTTTAAGTATAGTTGGGTGTACTGGTATTTGGTTCATATATGTTTTTTATTATTGTTTCTTCTTCTTGGAGTATTCCCTAATGAGTATGTAGTGGCTTTCTTTGTCTCTCTTGATCAGTCTTGGCTTGAAATTCACATTATCTGCAAATAGTGTAGCTCACTCTGCTTTTTTGGGGGGTGGATTGTCATGTGGAGTATTATTTTCTATCCTTTGACTTTCAATCCATGAATTTCTTTTTACATTAAATGTGTTTCTTATATGCAGCGTCTTGTTGAATCATATTATTTGATCCACTCTGCCAGTCCATTTGTTTTGATTGGTGATTGAGTCCATTTACATTGATGGTTATAACTGATATTTTTTGCTTATTCTTAATGTATTCTTTTCTTGCTGTTGGTTCTGTCTTTCTTGTAATTACTTTCCTTGCCTGGTGGCTTCTTTCTATTGCTGTTCTTTGAATTGTGGTATTCATTATCTCTTTTTAAAATATCTTTCAGAACATTTTATAGAGCTGGTTTGGTGCTCACGAATTTTCTCAGTTGTTCTTTGTCATAGAAATATCATATTTCTCCTTTTGAAAGATAGTTTTGCAGGTTACATCAGTCTGAGTTCAAGGTTGTTTTATTTCAGGACCTGAAATATTTCACTCCAAATTTTCCTTGATTTAAAGGTTTTCATTGAGAATTCTCCTGAGATTCTGATGGGCTTTCCTTTGTAGGTAATTTGATTCTTTACTCTAGAGGCTTTTGATACTCTGTTCTTGTGCTGAATTTCTGGGATCTTGATAATTATATGCTTTGGTGTAGATTTATTTTGGTTATGGCTAATTAGAGTTCTATATGCCTTACTTATTTCCATGTCAAATATTTTTCTGTGCTTGAGAAGTTTTCTGCCATGACTTCTGTGAACAGGTTTTTTTGTTTTGTTTTGTTTTTAATGGCATTTGCTCTATTTCCAGTTTTTTCTTTGATTCTGATCAATCTTATGCTATTCTTCTTTTGCATCATCTTTCAGCTGTTGGCTTAATTTTTCATGGTCTTTTGATATTTTAAAGATATCTTTCTTTTCATAAGCCCTTCTTTTAAAACCTCTTTTTCTCCAAAATGTTACTTTGTTTACTATTACTTGTCTCAAATTTAAGAATAAACTGGTAGTATAATATTGTTGAAAATTATATTTTGCATGGTTTTGGTGTCTTTTCCATTTATTTCAGAGAAAGAAGTAAACATTTAATTAAATGTAGTATACACTTGTCCCTCAGTCTTTGTGAGAGATTGGTTACAGGACACCCATGCTACCCCTGCATGCCCCAGTGAATACCAAAATTTGAAGATATTGAAATCCCTCATATAAAATAGCATATAATTAGCAATAGAGCTATACAATACTCCTGTATATTTAAGATCATCTCTACCATTTTATAATATCTAATATAATGTAAATGCTGTATAGATAGTTGTTGTTTAGGGAAAAACAACAAGGAAAAATGTCTGTATACATTCAGTACTTCTTTTCTGACTCTTTCCTGTTCATGGTTTGTTGAATCCACAAATTCATAACCATAGATATGAGGGACTAATTCTACACATACAGTTACTAACAAACACCCAAAATGAAGATGAGTGATAGAATGAATATGTGGCACCCTTCTCTCTTCAAGAGGTCAAGAGATAAAATGTTATCTATTCAAAAACCTCAGGATGAACTGCTACCTTATGTGCAGCATATACTATTCTGAAAGGTGTGTTTATCTTTGCTTTACTTGATTTTACAGTTTTTACTATCTATAAATGTAACACTAAATAATGATGCTTAATTTTTTATGTTTTTGAAGTATATATAAGTGAAATCCTACTGATGACTTGCTTTTTTCTCTATCATGTTGTCAAAATTCATCCAAAATTGATACTTTTACCTGTACTTCATTCATTGTTATTTACAGCTGGTGTTTGAGTATATTATGATCCACTTGTCCATTCTACTGGTGGACCTTTGAACTATTTCTCACTTTGACCTATCATATATCAGTGGAGCTCTGGACATCTTTATAAGTGATATTAATCATGTAAGACAAAAGCTCTCTGGAATGTACATTAAGAGAGAAATTGTTGGTTTATAACATGCACATTTGTGGCTTCATATGGAGAAATCATGGAAACATATTAAGGAAGAGAAGTTAGATACAAAGGCCACGTATTGTCTATGATTCTATTTGTAGGAACTGTGCAGTTTAGGACAACTATAGATACAGAGTAGAGCAATGATTTTTTTAGAGACTGAGGAAGAGAAATAACTGGGAGGTGACTGCTAATCAATGGAATCCTCTTTTTAGAGTGATGAAACTGTTTTTGGAATTAGGTAAAACCTGAATTTGAGTGGTGACTTCATGGGAAGTGGGGTATATCTCAAATTCAAAAATAATTAAATGTAGACAAATACAAAAGAAGAAGAAGGCTGCTCTTAAAAAACATTTGGCAAATGCTTATGCGATATGATCAGTTCCATATTTCCAAACACATTGTGATTTTTCTGCTTTATGGATTTGACTTTGCCCATATTAAGTCATTTAAAATCAATATCCATCTTTGTTTTATTCTTAGTCATCTAAATTTTCAACAAGACCATGAATCTGGTTGCTGAGAAGATCTCCCTCCTCCTTCTGTTCTTGGTAGGTCCAATATTGTTTAGCAGAGAGAAGAGAAGATAGAGATGAAAATGATATCTCACCTTCCCACAGTAGAAAATATCCTCTCTCTTCACCTTTCCTTCTGCTATCTTCTCTCTGATGGCCAGTCCTACTTCGTGCTCATTTCTGTAGAGGTAAGCCCCATCAATATGTCTATACCCCATGTCAATGGCCATTTTCACTGCTTCCAAGCAGGTGTTCTGAGATTCCTGAAATGACAAGGAGGATGGGGTTGAGATGAAGAGAAATTAGTCTTCAGTTTAATCATCGTTAATCAGGACTTTTGCAATACATTGCATTATAGCTAAAATGATAATTCCTAATCCTGTATTGTTGTGATTGTAAGACTGTGTTTGAAGATAGATTAAATGGGTATCCAAGGACACTCCATCTATCTGGAGTTTGCCCTCAGCTTTGTAATTTTAGAAATAGGAATTGATCAATTCCAGGGAGAGAAGACTTCATGGAAGCCTTTGAGGAGGGCACAAATTAATTGAATAAGGCTAAATTATAAATAAAAGGCTTGGATAAAAAAAAAACAACCCTGAACTATAGCCCTAGAATGAAAAACTACTCAATAAGTATAAGGAATAAACTGTTGATACATATAACGTAGAAGAATCTCAAAATAATTATGCTGGATAAAAGAAGCTAGATAGAAAAGAACAAATACACTGTGATTCTATTTTTATAAAATGCTAGAAAATTAAAACTAACCCATACATAGTGAAATACGCCGATCAGTGATTTCTGGACTAATTTTAATGAGTGGTAAAATTGCGAAATGAGGAAGCTTTGAGAGTTCATGAAAATGTTCATTATCTTGATTGTAGCAATAGTTTTACAAAAATATATCTCTTAAACATCAAATAGTATGTTTTAAATATGTGCAGTTTATTATATATCAAGTATACCTCAGTAAATCTTGGGAGGAAAAATTATTGAGAGTTACGTTATATTTTTTTTTTATTGAGTTTATTGGTACATTTAGGGATACAGTACAGTTACATTTATTGTTGGGATCATGTACCTTTACATGGCAAGTCTTGATTCTCATTTTTTTCCCCTTACCTCTGCCCTCCCTTCACCCCCTCCTCCCCTCCCCATCTACAAACACTTTATTTTCATCTTTTCATTCTCTCACATTTTTTTCTTT